CCTCGTCCACCTTCTTCGCCTGATCGTGATTATTAGTTACTGTATTCCCGTTAGCTTTTCAGTGTTCACTCGGAAATCCCTCTTCTCATGGCTTACACACGAGTTTAACGTCCGCGAACACGCACTTCAACTATTGAATAACTTGAATGCCTCAGCTTTCAGGAAGTTGTGCAAGAAGGCTTCGTTGCTCGGAATTTTATTCGAAAATCCGAGGACGTTCAAACGGGTGAACTTAATCTTACGCGCTTTGCAAAACCTCACTCAACTCACGTTTTCTGGTTCACCTCACAAATCACCTGGTACGGTTGGCCGTTTTCTGTTTCTACAGATACTGAAACCATTGCAGACAACCAAACAGAATACCCACTTCCAACGAAATGTATATATTTGTGAGCAAAATGACGACGAATCACTGGGATACAAATTAGAAAAGAGTTTTGGAAAAGATTTGGAGAAAAATGTGGAAAGGAGGTTTATTTATTCGTTTATTTAAATGCCCGAAATTCTATACACATGGGACAGCAATTGAACGGATAGCACTAGACGCTCCCACGAATGTGAATTACTGACTTACCGCAACATTTCATCTCGTACAGCGTACCCGAAGAATAATCCAATTCATACGATCTGTCAGTATCGTCCAACTGACAGGCACTATAATTTTCGTACAATGGCAAGGAAATTACATAGACTGTTAATGGAAGCATCTCAATTTAGGGCATCCGAGTAAATGAACAAATGCGGTTGTGGAATAAGCAGTGATTGGCATGGAGACACGAGTGGAAACAGGATGCGACGTGGGAGTGTTGGATCACCCGGTCCCCAGCCCTACGGTGAAGAGTGAGATGCGGGTCTGCTCGGCGTGCAGGCAAGTGGCGCACTGATGAATTGGAGTAGAAATGGTGCGGATAAGATCAACTCACCCACCAGTTGAATCCAAAGCAATTCGGTTGTGATTTACACGCATCTTTACAGAACTCCACCTCAACACCATTGTACCAACGCGTGTGAACAAGTGCGCCCAGACCCCGCATTTCCCACCGCAGTCCACCCAGGTCACGCCGACCTCGGAATTGATTCTCGGCTGGGATAGGTTCGCAAGACTGACTAGACCTGAGTAGACCCATCAGCATAGGGAGCAGAAACGATAAGTACATCAATTTATTGGTGGCCATATCACTGCCAGATTGCGAAGTGAACCGGTTGCTGGCCGCTACTGATCCGTTTATAAGGTGTCGGATCTTCAACCGCATTGGACAGCAAATTGTGCAGCAGTTGATTGGTTACGTATGACATGATTGTTTGTACCGGGAAAACGTACGCACCTGATTCGTTCAGTTCGTTTATGACTATGAGACACGAAGAAGTGCATCATAGATTGACAATCAAGACCCTGGATATTTTCTTCCCAAGAATACTACACAATCCGCTTCGACACATTCAATCGTTCCAAAATCGAGAATTATCTCAGAAAAAACTTCACCGATTGTTGTTTTTTACTCCCGAATGCTTGCTTAGTATGAGCTTGAGAGAGGCGAAGTGACCAGATCTCCGAAACGTTGACCGTCAACGCGGTTGCGCAGACCATCGTGGCAAGTAGACACACGTTAGTCCTTCGTGTTTGGGCATGCACCTAGCAATCGGATCGGAAAGCTGAAATTCCAATCAGCCTTGCCAAATATGGAATCGTTAACCGCGTTGCGTAGTAGTGAGCGCTCGGTACAGAGAAGCTCTTCAATAAGGACTCTCCGCTGCGTCCGGATGGCTACAGCAAGACTTTGGTCATCAAATCCACCATATTGTTTACCTTCATAGACGTAGCTGATCGCAGTGTCCTTATGTAGACGTAGTCCTCCAATAATAGATTGTCTGAGGTAATCGCTCAATAATTTGGACGTGTTTTGGTGGACTTGTGGGGTATGGCGCAGTTCGTTGTGATATCCATTTATTGATACAGACACAACGGAACATGCATCAACTCATCGAGCCTAAATGAGTTTTCAAGTGTTACTTGGCGTAAAACACGGTTTGTTTAAACCAGAGGCGTGGGCGAGCTGACTCAGTAGTGTGAGCGCGAATTCGCTGACTAGAGGGCCCAGACCTCTGCCATTCGACTTCCCCGGTCGAGATTTGGGCAACCTGGCAGTATCCCAGCCCTCGTGCTACTTTCTGGTGTCATGGCAGCTACGCACTGAAAGGTTTTCGCAGCCGCACGTAAATCGTAGATTATCGACATCGGCTTCTGACAAATGGGCCGCTGTTTGACCGACGGTTTGGTCAAGGCTGTCAGATGACGATTCGTCCAATTGCGCGGTTTGCTTGTCTCAAGATGGATTTAATTGTAAACCGGGTGAACTCAAATTGAAATCATTTTGACCACTACACTCGTTTGGGAGATTTCTTACCGAGAGACTGTGTCATGGTGCTGTAGTGGCTAAACTTCGCTTAATGGACATCTTCAGTCAGTTCGGTTTACCGTGTCCACACCTCCAGTCGTTTTGTTTGCCTCAGTTCAGACAACGGACTTTGGCACCTTATCGTGTCCCTCATCATTGTATCCGCAGGCTGCTCTCTCCCAAGCAGTCCTCCAAATGCTGATTTGCTTTTTGATTTTGAAAAAATGGAATTTGAATTCAGAGCCAGAATAAAAAGTCTAATTGCTAACTACTCCCCTAGATGGTGACAGGCGAAATTGTGACGTCGCATCGTTGAAAGTTTTCTTACGAAGTCACATGGTGATTTGTATGGGTCCAAATTCGCATGCCGAAATAGAATGAACAAAGTTCGCACGCATCCCGTTTTATAAATGTGAAATACCTTTGGCAGATGAAGTGCGATCACAACTAGCCTCAATCTATGGACAGGATGCCTCACTTTTCCGATAAAATTCCGTGTGTTGACGCACAACTAGAGGAAGCTGATCGATTATCACGTGACGGTTGCCGCTCGGAGTCTCGACAAATCTGGCCAATTTGGCTATGTACAACGAAACATCCGCTTGTCTATTGCTGACTTGAATACCATTCACAGACCGTTGTCATCGTGGTACCAGAAGATATGACATGACGTTCCAGATCGGATTTCCTGGCAAACCCCTACTAAATTCGCCTTCATCATTCAGTTACCCAAATACCAGAAGTAGTCTGTACTCTATTCGACAACATTGGCGACTGCTCTGAACTTGTTCCTAAGAAATGCTCTTATATGCGGCTTATTTAGGCAAATTTCACCCACATTTGATCGAAGTTTCA